TCGAGGCTGGCTCACCCGCTCGGGCGTTGCTTGGGGTTGAGAGGGGGTTTATTAATTGCTTTTGTTAATTAGCTGTATGTCTGGAGTACCTGGGGTGGCAGCCCTGTGGTGCTGAACTGGCTGAGGGTGGGGAGAGAGCCGAGCTCCGTGGGGCACAGGACGCCGGGGGAAGGCCTGCACCCGTGTGCCGGGTCAGCCCGGGCAAAGGTCTGCTAGTTGGACCGGGCAGGAACTTCCCCTAAAATGATTTGCCTGTACTACCCGTACAAACGTGAGTTAGTTAGGTCATGGCTTGCACCCTCTAGCTTCCTCCCTGGAAAAGCTGCTGAGGCAGAACGTAGCGCTGCTGATGCTGAACTGTGCTTGTTCTGAGGCTTAAAATGGGCTCTTATCCAGTGGCTCTTCTACATGCCTTTCCACTTCCATTCTTCCCTGGGCTAGGCTTTTGGATTCAGTAAAGCTGCAGGAAACACAGCCTGTGTTTATTGCCCACTGCAGCTGACCTCTCTCCCCGCTAGGAAATGGCTCACTTTTGATCTAGTCTTCTTCCCATAAGCTGTGTGATTCCACGATCTGTTTTCTGCTTGCTTTAGTATGACAAAGCTGCTATCAAGTTTTAGCCTCAGGCTGCCAAAATCTGAGCCTGGAACTTTCCCAAATAGGTGAGTCCAGATGGCTTCTGCGGCTCGGAAGTCTAGGTATTACAGGTTTCTAACTGCATATGGGCTCATGTGGTGTCCTGGTGGGCAGAGTTAGCTTGAATGCTATTGGAGCTGTAGCTACCATTTTTTGCTATAGTAAAAGCTGTACTTGTCCCTGTGAGTTTTGCTTGCAGGGACAGCCTTTAATCTGATGAGATGCTGCCAAACTGCCTGCTTCCATATTTTCCCTGTCAGAAGGGAGGCATCATTTCTCTTCTGTGGGAAGTGCCATGTTACTGACATCTAGTGACAAAGGTACTTGTCGTTTTTTGGTCTGCAACTGGCCATGTCTGCTTCCAGGGAGTGCATTTGAGATATCCTTGAAGGGTGTTATGGCTGGCTTCTTCCTCTTGCTGAGAGTGCACAATTGTGGCTTTTGAAGAGCTGAGTCTTGAGGCAGTGAAGGGTTACATCTTGAGTTCTTTGAAGCACAGATGACTGGAAATGCACGTGGGTTTGATAGTATCCCCTTTTTTTGATGGAATGGGAACAGTCACTAAACAAAATGGGCTTTGTAAAGAAACCTCCTGTAACCCTTGTTAAACTTTTCTTGTCTCATCTCTGCATCAAGAAGTAGTAAAGCCAAGATTGTCATTTGCAGCACATCTTGCACTGGTTTTCTAAGCTTATACTAATGAAGACCATTTGAGTACTTAAAGGCTTTTCTTAGGGTTAACTGGAGGATGGATAGAAGTACAGCCTAGGGTGCCAAATTATAGTTGTTCTGTATGGCACGTTCAGCTTCTTTCCTGTAGTGAATGACCTACAGAGTCAAAAGTTACTAGCAAGCCATTTATTATTTTGATCTCAGCAGGAGGTTGGCAGCTCAGCTAAAACCTTGCAAACTGGAGCACAGAATGTGAAATACAGTTATCTGCTCCACAGAAATAGTAGAAAGAGAAACACTGGCAAGTCAGGACACCTAGGCCATTACTGGTCTGCAGAATACAAGCTCTTGCTCAAACTGCAGTCAGTGTTTCTGTTAGACGATGAATAGAATGCAAGTCACTGTTCAAGTTTGTAGCTCGAGTGAAAAACAAGTAGAAGTTGCTTCAAACTGACTTTAAAACTGCCTTGGAAGAACTGGTAGAAGTGGAAGAAGACATTGGGGCTGTTTAGATGAGGTTGCACTCAAAATAACGTAGAGAGGTGTGTTAAACGCTGTTCTGTGGTGTTTTACAGAGTAAGGGAGCTTCTCTTGTTTCCCTGTGTCAGTATTTATCTCCTGTTAGTCTTTAGACTGACTGTGTGCAGTGTGAAATGTAGAATTAGACTATAGGAGGAGAGCCTGGTAAGTGATGCATGTGCTTCTCTTCTTGTCCACTGGTTATGGTGATTTATGGGATTGGCTTTAAAATAGGAGTGGTTTCTCTGAAACTGATGGGTTTATCTCCGCAGCTCTTTAGCTCGCGGTATGCCTCTTAATTAGATCATGCA